CAAAAACAAAAGAATTCTCACAGCAATTAACGCAAGTTCGTGCTGGTAATAAAGTCCAGAATTATTCACAAATACAGCATTAATTCAGAGATTTTTTGCGTCCCGACGTTAGTAGAATTTTGAGCGCGTGTTCATCTCGGTGACGCGGAAAATGTTCCGGAATGTTTAGGAATATTCATGTCATTAGGCAAAAATGGCGTTTGATCCCCCACACAGCAATTAGGTAATGAACGATTTCCAATTGAACTGTTAAATATATTGGTGATCAAGTCGTTAAATGGAAAACAATTATTAAACGATCCACCGCAGGCATCTTGTGACGCCTGCGGTGGAGCTTTAACTCTGTAATGTAAAAGAAATTACTTGGGGAAATTTAAATTCTCCCATATTGGAGAGAAAACACATGTTTTTATTTCCATTATAGGGTATTAAAACAATTTAAGGTTCATTTAAGCAGTACAACTCATCTCATCAAACAACCGTTCTGTTTCATAGCATTCATACACCAAATAGTAATTACATCTTTCTTTCTTACTATTTCTATTTCACCTTCCGACTTCATGTTTGTGTTTACTCTGCATTACCCAGAAGTTTAACGATAAAAGCTCCTTTAAGCAGTTCAACACATCAAAACACTTGTTCTGTTTCATACTGTCACTATCAAATAGTGGCTGACTAAATGTTATTTGAAAGTGGTGTGAAACGCTGTTGGAAAACCGTAAGTAAACATTATTTGATAAAAAGATAAAGAATTGACTGAACCGTAAGACATGCTGGAATCACTAAAAATAAGAAGCAGTAGCCAGCTTCATAAAACACAGCCTTTAAATAAAAGTTATCCTATCAAACATGACATGTTGACAATCTTCAGTCTGCTGTTGCTGTTTGACTGCATTACTGACTTACTGAGTGCTGGTAAATACTATTTCATCGAGTCTGACTAAGAATTAAAAAGTCACCCTATCTTACAAGGCATGTTACATTCTTCAGTCCACTTTTACTGATTGACCGACTGACTTGCTGAGTTTGAAAGATGTAAAACTTTAAAATAAGCTAAAAAAAAAATGTACACACAAGAAATGATTACCACATTCAGTAAGCACTTACTGATCTGCGACCTGGCTGAGTGAGACAACATATAGACGGCCTTATGATCGTATTATTGCTTAAAAATTAAAAACTTTAAACTAAGCTAAAAAATGTACACACAACCAATGATTCCCACATTCAGTAAACACTTACTGATTTAGCTGACTGACTGAGACAACATATAGATGGCCTTGATGATTGTATTATTTTCTTTTTAAGATGTAAAACTTTAAACTGAACTAGAAATGATTACCACATTCAGTAAACACTGGCTTGGCTGACTGACTGAGACAACATATTGACGGACTAGGCAAGTTTACTTTAAAATGGTATTTGGACGAATAAAGTATTAAGAGTGGTGAATATTCAGTTTCATTGTAGGGAACATAGCCTCCCACATTGGGTTGATGTAGTCTAACCCCCTTATGTCACTGTTAACACGTGAGGGGAGGATAGGAGAGACAACCCACTGATTAGACGATGACGGCAAAGCCTGGACGCCGGGCACTAATGAGACAAATGTCACACACACGGTGCTAAACACCTCAAGGTTGTCTTGCCCATCATCAACGGAGTCAAGGTCAGACAGTCTGAAACTGACTGTCTAAGAGAGAACACATACGGACTTGATGATCGTATTATTATTATTATTATTATTATTATTATTATTATTATTATTATTATTGCTATTATTATTATTATTATTATTATTATTATTATTATTATTATTATTATTATTATTATTATTATTATTATTATTATTATTATTATTATTATTACTATTATTAACTTTTAAAAATGGAAAAGCTTAAAATAAGCTTGATGGTAGAAGCTAATTAAAAAGCGCTAAAAATCTGATTAATTCGCTCTACCACCAAGATGATGGAAATGCTCATACATTCTTCTCACTCAGCTAGTGTTGTCTAAAGCGCGAACATGTCCGGATATAACGCTCTGGGCCTCCAGGGCCCATTAGAACACTATAAGGCAGCTGTTAGTGAGCCATTTTCCTAAAGTATTTTCTCCTCGATTGGTAGAATCAACAATTGCAAGCAGACAAACGGTGGGTGTATTACCGGTGAATTCTGGAGTGAATAAGTTTACAGACACTTATCTGGAATTCATCATAAAGGGAGTGAATGGTCAGCTGGTGGACTTATCATCTATTGCTTTGGAGTCGTCTACTGATCTAAATGAAGAAGACGGAACAGCACCTTTAAGAGATGCTAAAAAATCTCATTAGTGAATGGATTGTCACAAACTCTATTCAAATTCGCTATTGTGTATTTAAACGAAACATAAAGCTGCTATCTACGATTTCAGGGTGTAAGGTTACGCGCTATGATAAACTGTCTCAGTTTTTTTTTTAATCGTGTTGATCCTAGCAAAATTGAAGCCGGGTATTTCACTAATTCTTCAGCTGGAGAGAAGCAGTGGATTGGCAGATATGAAAACGAGCGGTGTAAATACCTGCTTCAAACTAGTGTTGGATGTTACATAGGTTAGTGAATACGTTTTGGATAATGTAGTCAGTAGAGTGCACCTTGAACTACAACCAGATAAATGACTTGTACTCAGTGATAATGCACAAGGTAATTTTAAATATAATATCAAGTCTACACGTCTATGGGGTGGATAGGATATTGCCTTATCCTGAAGGATTAATAGCCATTAATAAGGCTATGCTGCAGATCAACTCTCCTATTACGTATACTTTTAATATAACTTTATATAAAACATTTATTTTGGGTACGGGTCAGCATTCGATAACATTGAACCAACCATGGGGAACTGTGATATCAGAACATTTATATATGATCATTCTTGATATGGAGGCTGTGTCTGGAGCGTATAATCACAACTCGCTTTATTTGGAAAACTGCGACCTTAGTAAGGTATTAATATCGCAGAATAGCACTAATATTGTCAATATTGGGTGTGACTTCCCTCATAACTGCGCCAAGTTGTATTACACAGTATTACAAGCTTTAGGCTTCGATAAAGACAATATATTTTCTTATGATACATATGTGAATGGTGGAACCATACTAGCCTCGCTTACATTTCAAAAATTATATTTATTTGGACCAGAACGCTGATTTTCCGCGTTACGTTACATTGTGTGTGTGTTACAAGGACTAAACAGTTACACAGTAATAATTATTATTTGGTGTTGGATGTAGAGGCAAGGGAGATTGACTAGACATGCTTACATTTCAAAAATTATATTTATTTTGCAACTAGGTGAATACACAGCATTCCGGGTCAGTCGTGTATCAGAAAGTTTCCTCTGGTCATGCATGATGTAATATCCCATGCTCAACTACATGCTCAATTACAGCATGCGATATTAGACCCTATGTTGACAAAGCGGTAATTATATTCATATTGCTCTTATAAACGAAGACAATTTTGTTAGAACCGAACAATTGAAGATTAATGACTGCCACAGGTGGTAGCGAGAGGCATGCACATGAACCCCAATGAATGAGCAGTTATACCAATAAGGAAATGCGTTGAGAAAGAAAATGTACATGTGATTATAAATAAACAAATGGAAGCGTCACGAGAAGTGATGCAAGAAAATACTGTGAGCGAAGAAGTCGTGCAGGAACTGGTAACATATCGTAATGGTGGAGTGATAAGGTTGAAGTGACTTGCTCTACCACACTGGGTAAAGTCCTACAGTTCCCGCCAAATACAGCAACAGCGGGTTGAGGGCAGAGGCCAAGCTTGAACACTTTTGATCTCAGGGATGAGGGCAGAGGCCAAGCTTGAACACTTCTGATCTCAGGGCAGAGGTCAAGCTTGAACACTTCTGATCTCAGGGCAGAGGCCAAGCTTGAACACTTCTGATCTCAGAGTTGAGGGCAGAGGCCAAGCTTGAACACTTCTGATCTCAGGGCAGAGGGCAGAGGCCAAGCTTGAACACTTCTGATCTCAGAGTTGAGGGGAGAGGCCAAGCTTGAACACTTCTGATCTCAGGGATGAGGACAGAGGCCAAGCTTGAACACTTCTGATCTCAGGGATGAGGACAGAGGCCAAGCTTGAACACTACTGATCTCAGCACCACACCTTATGCCTGGAGGAGCCCTTATTAGCCAAGCGTTCGTTCTCAACTGTACATCGCCCGGAGACAGACATGTTTAAGACTGAAACAGAAACGTTTGTTGACTGTTGATACCTCCAGTACTTCCTGTTGTTGACTGTTGATACCTCCAGTACTTCCTGTTGTTGTCTGTTGATACCTCCAGTACTTCCTGTTGTTGACTGTTGATACCTCCAGTACTTCCTGTTGTTGTCTGTTGATACCTCCAGTACTTCCTGTTGTTGACTGTTGATACCTCCAGTACTTCCTGTTGTTGACTGTTGATACCTCCAGTACTTCCTGTTGTTGACTGTTGATACCTCCAGTACTTCCTGTTGTTGTCTGTTGATACCCTTCCATGCTGCACCCTGCCGTGCTGCACCCTTCCGTGCTGCACCCTTCCATGCTGCACCCTGCCGTGCTGCACCCTTCCATGCTGCACCCCTCCATGCTGCACCCTTCCATGCTGCACCCTGCCGTGCTGCACCCTTCCATGCTGCACCCCTCCATGCTGCACCCTTCCATGCTGCACCCTGCCGTGCTGCATCCTTCCATGCTGCACCCTGCAGTGCTGCACCCTTCCATGCTGCACCCTGCCGTGCTGCACCCTTCCATGCTGCACCCCTCCATGCTGCACCCTTCCATGCTGCACTCTGCCGTGCTGCACCCTTCCGTGCTGCACCACTCCATGCTGCACCCTTCCATGCTGCACCCTTCCATGCTGCACCCTTTCATGCTGCACCCTTCCATGCTGCACCCTGCCGTGCTGCACCCTTCCATGCTGCACCCTTCCATGCTGCACCCTGCCGTGCTGCACCCCACCATGCTGCACCCTTCCATGCTGCACCCTGCCGCGCTGCACCCTTCCGAGCTGCACCCTTCCATGCTGCACCCCCTCCATGCTGCACCCTTCCATGCTGCACCCTTTCATGCTGCACCCTTCCATGCTGCACCCTGCCGTGCTGCACCCTTCCATGCTGCACCCTTCCGTGCTGCACCCTTCCGTGCTGCAACCTTCCGTGCTGCAACCTTCCGTGCTGCACCGTCCCATGCTGCACCCTTCCATGCTGCACCCTGCTGCGCTGCACCCTTCCGTGCTGCACCCTTCCATGCTGCACCCCTCCATGCTGCACCCTTCCATGCTGCACCCTTCCATGCTGCACCCCTCCATGCTGCACCCTTCCATGCTGCACCCTTCCATGCTGCACCCTTCCATGCTGCACCCCTCCATGCTGCACCCTTCCATGCTGCACCCTGCCGTGCTGCACCCTTCCATGCTGCACCCTTTCATGCTGCACCCTTCCATGCTGCACCCTTCCATGCTGCACCCTGCCGTGCTGCACCCTTCCATGCTGCACCCTTTCATGTTGCACCCTTCCATGCTGCACCCTTCCATGCTGCACCCTTCCGTGCTGCACCCTTCCGTGCTGCACCCTTCCGTGCTGCAACCTTCCGTGCTGCACCCTTCCGTGCTGCACCCTTCCATGCTGCACCCTTCCATGCTGCAACCTTCCGTGCTGCACCCTTCCATGCTGCACCCTTCCATGCTGCACCCTTCCGTGCTGCACCCTTCCGTGCTGCACCCTTCCATGCTGCACCCTTCCATGCTGCACCCTTCCATGCTGCACCCTTCCATGCTGCACCCTTCCATGCTGCACCCTTCCGTGCTGCAACCTTCCGTGCTGCACCCTTCCGTGCTGCACCCTTCCGTGCTGCAACCTTCCGTGCTGCAACCTTCCGTGCTGCACCGTCCCATGCTGCACCCTTCCATGCTGCACCCTTCCATGCTGCACCCTTCCATGCTGCACCCTTCCGTGCTGCACCCTTCCATGCTGCACCCTTCCGTGCTGCACCCTTCCGTGCTGCAACCTTCCGTGCTGCACCCTTCCATGCTGCACCCCTCCATGCTGCACCCTTCCGTGCTGCAACCTTCCGAGCTGCAACCTTCCGTGCTGCACCCTTCCATGCTGCACCCTTCCATGCTGCACCCCTCCATGCTGCACCCTTCCGTGCTGCACCCTTCCATGCTGCACCCTTCCGTGCTGCAACCTTCCGTTCTGCAACCTTCCGTGCTGCACCCTTCCATGCTGCACCCTTCCGTGCTGCAACCTTCCGTGCTGCAACCTTCCGTGCTGCACCGTCCCATGCTGCACCATTCCATGCTGCACCCCTCCATGCTGCACCCTTCCATGCTGCACCCCTCCATGCTGCACCCTTCCATGCTGCACCCCTCCATGCTGCACCCTTCCATGCTGCACCCTTCCATGCTGCACCCTTCCGTGCTGCACCCTTCCGTGCTGCAACCTTCCGTGCTGCACCGTCCCATGCTGCACCCTTCCATGCTGCACCCTTCCGCGCTGCACCCTTCCATGCTGCACCCTTCCGTGCTGCACCCTTCCGTGCTGCACCCTTCCATGCTGCACCCTTCCATGCTGCACCCCTCCATGCTGCACCCTTCCATGCTGCACCCCTCCATGCTGCACCCCTCCATGCTGCACCCTTCCATGCTGCACCCTTCCATGCTGCACCCTTCCGTGCTGCACCCTTCCGTGCTGCAACCTTCCGTGCTGCACCGTCCCATGCTGCACCCTTCCGCGCTGCACCCTTCCATGCTGCACCCTTCCATGCTGCACCCTTCCATGCTGCACCCTTCCATGCTGCACCCCTCCATGCTGCACCCTTCCGTGCTGCAACCTTCCGTGCTGCACCCTTCCATGCTGCACCCTTCCATGCTGCACCCTTCCATGCTGCACCCCTCCATGCTGCACCCCTCCATGCTGCACCCTTCCGTGCTGCACCCTTCCGTGCTGCAACCTTCCGTGCTGCACCCTTCCGTGCTGCACCCTTCCGTGCTGCAACCTTCCGTGCTGCACCCCTCCAGGCTGCACCCTTCCATGCTGCACCCTTCCGTGCTGCACCCTTCCGTGCTGCAACCTTCCGTGCTGCACCCTTCCGTGCTGCACCCTTCCGTGCTGCAACCTTCCGTGCTGCACCGTCCCATGCTGCACCCTTCCATGCTGCACCCTTCCATGCTGCACCCTTCCGTGCTGCACCCTTCCATGCTGCACCCTTCCGTGCTGCACCCTTCCGTGCTGCAACCTTCCGTGCTGCACCCTTCCGTGCTGCACCCTTCCATGCTGCACCCCTCCATGCTGCACCCTTCCGTGCTGCAACCTTCCGTGCTGCAACCTTCCGTGCTGCACCCTTCCATGCTGCACCCTTCCATGCTGCACCCCTCCATGCTGCACCCTTCCGTGCTGCACCCTTCCATGCTGCACCCTTCCGTGCTGCAACCTTCCGTGCTGCAACCTTCCGTGCTGCACCCTTCCATGCTGCACCCTTCCGTGCTGCAACCTTCCGTGCTGCAACCTTCCGTGCTGCACCGTCCCATGCTGCACCCTTCCATGCTGCACCCCTCCATGCTGCACCCTTCCATGCTGCACCCCTCCATGCTGCACCCTTCCATGCTGCACCCCTCCATGCTGCACCCTTCCATGCTGCACCCTTCCATGCTGCACCCTTCCTTGCTGCACCCTTCCGTGCTGCAACCTTCCGTGCTGCACCGTCCCATGCTGCACCCTTCCATGCTGCACCCTTCCGCGCTGCACCCTTCCATGCTGCACCCTTCCGTGCTGCACCCTTCCGTGCTGCACCCTTCCATGCTGCACCCTTCCATGCTGCACCCCTCCATGCTGCACCCTTCCATGCTGCACCCCTCCATGCTGCACCCCTCCATGATGCACCCTTCCATGCTGCACCCTTCCATGCTGCACCCTTCCGTGCTGCACCCTTCCGTGCTGCAACCTTCCGTGCTGCACCGTCCCATGCTGCACCCTTCCGCGCTGCACCCTTCCATGCTGCACCCTTCCATGCTGCACCCTTCCATGCTGCACCCTTCCATGCTGCACCCCTCCATGCTGCACCCTTCCGTGCTGTAACCTTCCGTGCTGCACCCTTCCATGCTGCACCCTTCCATGCTGCACCCTTCCATGCTGCACCCCTCCATGCTGCACCCCTCCATGCTGCACCCTTCCGTGCTGCACCCTTCCGTGCTGCAACCTTCCGTGCTGCACCCTTCCGTGCTGCACCCTTCCGTGCTGCAACCTTCCGTGCTGCACCCCTCCATGCTGCACCCTTCCATGCTGCACCCTTCCGTGCTGCACCCTTCCATGCTGCACCCTTCCATGCTGCACCGTGCTGTGTTCCCCAGAGCAGGTTCATTACCAAAGTTGTTACGAATATGGATAGCCATAAGAGGCGGCCAAGCACCTTAATACGTTTTCAGCAAGGACGGCAGTTCAACTTAATATAATGTCAGAATATTCCACAAATATTGAGTTTATTTACGATAATTTATTTACATGAAAACAAACGAGTTTATTATGTTAAAGTGTTTGTTGATGTAAGAGTTACTAGCGAGAAGTTGAAAGGAAGAGAACACGTGTTCATCCGAAGAACTCGTTGATGACTGAACATCCTGTTCACGGTTATATAAAATCAATAATACAGTGATATTGAAATTTATTTACGTCCGTGCTGCAAATTTACCGTGCTGATGCTGATGCCCCAGCAGCTGGGGCAGCAGCACGGGGGGGGGGGGCAACCCTCCCCACGCCTGGCACCTTGTGATGCCCCAGCAGCTGGGGGAGCAGCACGGGGGCAACCCTCCCCACGCCTGGGATCTGGGCATAAATCATTACATGCACAATATATGATGTTGACTCTCAAGAGCTCGACATCCTTGAAAAGTGTCCGAGACATATGGCGAGCATGGACCCACCTGAGGGTAAATGTGGCAGTGTTGCGAGACCGCTCACAGGATACCTTCACCTCCGGAAGAAACTGGAGAGCTTCCCTGGTCATGTGCTGACCCAACACTCAACTACAACGCACTCATCTTGATAACTGTGGGTCCCTCCAGTGCAGCGGAGCAACAAGTTGATGCTGCGGAACCCCACAGTGACACACATAACACATCAGGTGTAGTTCAACTTCAGTGCCCCTCCCCCCTTCTCCCACTAACACACAGAGTTAAGGAGAGAGACGTGTGCCACTGCTATGCACAAATGGCTGAGACGAGGTGCTCCTTGGTGGCAGCGGAGGCCAGAAAGTGAAGCTGAAACCGGTGGAACAAGTCACGGCTACAGAAAAGTACCGGACACACAAATCAAATCAAAATCAAATCAAATGTTTATTTAGGTAAAGTACATACATACAGGGGGTGATACAGATTTTGATTAATTTATAGATAGAGCTAGTACATACAATGCCTAAAGCCACTATTACGCAAAGCGTTTCGGGCGTGTATGTACACGTACCATGGTCCACACTTGTTGCTGTAGAGTTTGGAGTCCACGATATCTTCTTGGAGCGCAGTCATGCTCAAGTCTTGCATACGCGGTACAGAACTGAGAGTCTCTGCTGTGAGTGCCCTCTGGGGTACTGCTGTTGATCTAGATGCTTGGCACACAACGTAGGAACTGCGGGACCTTGGCCACCGAGAACACAAAACACTCTCAGTGGACGTGGCCGTTACTATCACGCTCCCCCCGGCTGCTCTGACCTCTCTGGGTCCTCATGTCTCCTCTCGTTTTGATGAGAGTTATGTGGGCCATTGACAATTACGCCCGTTCTCATTTGGCACTACTGGAGGCGTAGGTAAAGTTGGCACTCCTCCTCGTTGGCAGGGTCGAACATAAATTCCAGTGACACATTAACTACTCAACGATCCGCGGGTTGTAATGACCCAACGATGAACTGGTGTAACTGAGCCTATCCAGCAACAGGTGAAAAATCCTCCGGTGGGTGGCTTTTTCCATTACCGTACTGCCTAAGCCTATCCCAATTGTCGGATGAAGAATGGACGCTTGTCAGGGTGATGACCCCCCTGCCCCCCCCCCCGCCCCCCATGTCTATCTCCACGATAGCCAGGGTCATATGAGCTTCTCGCCCGAGTTCATACTCATGTTCGCATTGCCAATTTTGCAAATTATCAAAATATGCAAAGTCAAAATACCTAACAGGCTGATAATTCGCTCCACTCATTGGCTATACTATCCGCATCATTAAAATGTAAATTTGCCTATTAGACTGGATTAATTTCATTTCCAGCAGAACGTAGTAGGAAGGGCCCCACACTCTCGCTGGAATTATCACCGCTTCGCCTCATTTGTTTTTTTATTCTCAATGATAACTTTGTTATCTTTAAGCAGAGAAGGGAGCGCTACACGAAGCCGCATCAATAAACTAGTTTCTCCCCCGACTTTGTAAACATCAATATAAACAGCTTGAATTGTTTACACACACGCGCGCGCGAGCACGCTCACAAACGCACAGAAGTGCCCACACTCAAACAAAAACACACACAAAACTCGTCCCAGAAGTGACAGGGTTGGATTACGAGGAAAGAATCAGGGATCTGGATCTTATTACATTAGGTGAGAGACGGGAATAAGGAGACATGGTTGTGACGTATAAGATCCTAAGAAAAACTGCTCATATGTAAACAAGGATACACACTCCTTAGGCCGTGCAACAGCAGAACTGGAGGCATTGCATGAATGGAACCAGGAGACACAGGTGAACCATGGATGGAACCAGGAGACACAGGTGAACCATGGATGGAACCAGGAGACACAGGTGAACCATGGATGGAACCAGGAGACACAGGTGAACCATGGTAGGAACCAGGAGACACAGGTGAACCATGGATGGAACCAGGAGACACAGGTGAACCATGGATGGAACCAGGAGACACAGGTGAACCATGGATGGAACCAGGAGACACAGGTGAACCATGGATGGAACCAGGAGACACAGGTGAACCATGGATGGAACCAGGAGACACAGGTGAACCATGGTAGGAACCAGGAGACACAGGTGAACCATGGATGGAACCAGGAGACACAGATGAACCATGGTAGGAACCAGGAGACACAGATGAACCATGGTAGGAACCAGGAGACACAGATGAACCATGGATGGAACCAGGAGACACAGATGAACCATGGATGGAACCAGGAGACACAGGTGAACTATGATTGGAACCAGGAGACACAGATGAGTTATAAGGATATAAGGAAACCTTTCTTAAGTCAGTAAGGAGTGAATAAGATATAGGCGGTAGAGTCTAATATGAATCAAAAATTGAAATGCGGATTTTATAGAACTTTAGAAGGCTGAAATTGCATTGTATTACCGACAGCTGCAAAAACTAGTCTACAGGGGACACACGGACACATAGTGGAGACACAAACACTCTGTGGACACAAGGCCACACAGTGGACACACACACAGTGGACACACGTACACATAGTGGACACACACATTATACATAGAGTACACAAAATGGACACACATTGTACGTACACATAGTGGACACAGAGTACACATTACTTTAGTGAGAGTCGACTGCTGCTAGACTTACTATATATAAAAGGTTTCTCGGACACACAATAAATCAGAACTGATTTACCAAACAAAATACACAACAAATACCTGAGTGGTCAGCACCCTCAGAAAGATAATTACTATAAACAACATAACATAAATGACATAAAAATATTAATTAGGAATAGTATTATAAATTAATATTTCCTTGACGAGTAGTAATTTTAGTGATAGGCTAATAGGGCTAAGAATATAGATCATAATTTTAGTTGTTTGTTAAAATGTAAAAACTAATTTTAATTCGCTCTATTGGCAAATGGCTGGATGGCTTTCGGGCTAGGAGATATATTATATTTTATCTCTATAATGAAGAATACAGAAATTAGCAAATCAGGATAAATCTACTTCACATATAAAATTCACAGTCAATAAATAATTCATTATCCCCAAAAACAGATACACAAAATGTTCCTTCCAGTCGAAGATGAAAATATGCCATCAGTTAAGTAATATCAGAAAGTAACACAGTGCATACACAGTGTTACTCTGGCACAGTGCATCCACTCTATTTTGACTAAATAATGAAAATATTCACAAACTAGTATTCAATCTCAAACGTGTTACCGACAGTTTCCAAGTCTCTCTCTCTCTCTCTCTCTCTCTCTCTCTCTCTCTCTCTCTCTCTCTCTCTCTCTCTCTCTCTCTCTCTCTCTCTCTCTCTCTCTCTCTCTCTCTCTCTCTCTCTCTCTCTCTCTCTCTCTCTCTCTCTCTCTCTCTCTCTCTCTCTCTCTCTCTCTCTCTCTCTCTCTCTCTCTCTCTCTCTCTCGCTCTCTCTCTCTCTCTCTCTCTCTCTCTCTCTCTCTCTCTCTCTCTCTCTCTCTCTCTCTCTCTCTCTCTCTCTCTCTCTCTCTCTCTCTCTCTCTCTCTCTCTCTCTCTCTCTCTCTCTCTCTCTCTCTCTCTCTCTCTCCTCTCTCTCCTTCCTACATACTCCTTCCCTGTTTGGTTCCAATACTCTCCACTATTTTTTCAATGTTTACTTAAATATATCTTGTTAATTACTTCATAGCGCTCTCATATTTGCTCCTTATGTTAAGTATAATAAAATGGCATTATTCCCAAGTACTACATGTTGGTTTAAGCGTTATTGTAATATTGGCGCAATATTTATTATATTCCATAGTATTCCTAGTCATGATCAAACAGAAACTGTGTTGACTTGTCATTACTATGTAAAGCTTTTTTATTTTTTCTGAAGAAAATAAAATATATAATTGCAATAACCTAATGAGACAGCATATGCTAAAATGCAAAAAAAGCAAAAATAATTCATCAAAGTTAATACAAATCTAAGACAACGATCTTTATCTCACCCAACAAACACCATCCTCACTCGTGTATTATATATATATATATATATATATATATATATATATATATATATATATATATATATATATATATATATATATATATACTGTAATTAATATAATATATATTAACAGCACAAAAATACGAATATTTTCCTAAAATATTATTTTTTTAGTAAATCCTGGGCATCATGGTAGCGTAAGACATAAACAATTGCTTCGCTTTTCACCGACTTTTTCACGTTTGTTTGCCTTGATAATAAGCAACCCCCAAAAATCTAGTCTACACCCATTGTTCTCAGACAATGGCGACCCGGCCGCCGTCGACGCGAGCCCGGGCCCTCTACTGCTATTATCAACCCCTCTTTACTATCATTGTTATCATTATTCCTACCTTTACCTTCATCATTATTATTATTATTATTATTATTATTATTATTATTATTATTATTATTATTATTATGATATCATTGTGACCGCCAACATCAGTACGCTGCTAACAATTGCAATTATGTTACAGCCGTGAGTGACTACCACTATCATTACTCTCCTTCT